CCATCCTTTTCTCCTCCTCTCCAGGTTCACTTACTGGCCACTGCGGCTTCAGGTTAGTTTTGGCGCTCACCCTGACAGTGATCCTGGAGCTCACGTGAAGCTTCACCTGCCTCTTCCTCCTCCTCTTCCTCCTCCATACGGCTCCACCCGGCATCTCCACCTCCGTCCATCGGTTCTCTCGCTCTTTTTTTTTTCTAATCTATTTACAGTCTCAATCTCTTCCCGTTCTGTGTCTTGGCTTCCTCAGACAATTTAATTAAAGGGAAAAAGAAAAACCTCCCCTGGTAGAAGGTTGTAATTAATGTTTTACCTTGTGCTGGGGTTCCCAGCGCTGTCTCAGGGTACCCGCAGGCTTTGTGAGGTCTTGGAGGGGGATGGGGGATGTCTATGATTCAAGGACCAAATTTCCCCTGGAAAAATCTGGTTACACTGTTCCCACTGCACCAAGATGCTCCAGATCCACAGGGGAAGGCCCTGCACGTGTCCCCAGCGTGAGGGAGGTTGGGGACAAGCCCACACACGTGTGAGTGGCAGCGCTGGGAGCCCAAAAGCTGCGGATCACTGGCCTTCTCTGAGGCTGGGCTGGGGGAAGCGGCTTTGCTGGGAGCCAGGGCCATGCACAGCACTCGTCCCGGGCTGGTGGCGAATCACAAGTGACAGGCAGCTCCCGACCCAAAATGTCAGTGCTCACACATGAGCGGGCAGCGGGTCCCATCAGGCACCAGCCTGCACCCACCCCTGCTCCGTGCCACCCTCCCCGTCCCTCCTGGCTAATCATCTCCATGGAAACGGATAATGGTCCAGCACAGACAGATCCCCAATATTCCCGTGGCCCCCAGTCCCGGCAGGGCGTTAGTCCTGCTGCAGGATGGCAAAACCCAGGTGGGTTCGTCCCAGTCCTGCCCAGCACTGGAGGATGCCTACGGAGGATACCCAGAGTTTTCCCTGTTTTCCTGCCCCGTGGTACCCTGAGAGCATCCGGGATCCCTGGAGAGCAGATGCAGGGGGGAAAGGATCCCAAGGGATCCCAGGGGCGCTCCCCTGGCTTTTCCTCTGGGAACTCCTAATCCAGAGGATTATCCAGCAGCCGTGTGGCACTTCATCTTCCCAAAGCCCCGGACGAGTGCTAAGCATCATTATTACTATTATGATTAATTATTATTAAGCAGATTCCATCCCTTCCCTGCTCTGTTGCCAACCTCGCTGTGAGCGATTTCCCAGCCCCAAAGGAGCCCAACAACCACTCGGCAGCTCAGGAGCTTCTTCCCTGCCACAAAAGCCCACAGTTTATAATTTGGACTGGAAGCAACACAGGGATGGATTGGGACTGGCTGGGATGTGGGAGGATCAGCAGCTCCACTTTCATCCCGAAGGAACAGCATCTGAGTATCCAGATCCCTACAGACCTGCTTCTTCTTCAGCTGCTTCCACTGTTCCTCCCTGGATGAGAGGAAAATCTTCATTTTTTTAGAGGAACCTTCATTTTTTGGGGAACTTTCCGTGACTCAACTTACGCCCCCGGGACGAAGCAGGCAGGAGGGCCCCCCCACCACAAGGCGGATGCTTCTCGCCCTGCTCGCTGGATTGGAGATGCTCCAGGGGCCTCATCCTGACGTGATTAGACAACCATTAGGCCTCCTCGCTCCAAACAATGAGGATTTACAGGCGCCCAAACCTCCATTTAAATGCAAATGCGGCGGGTTTAGCCCGGCACCGTGGAAATGAGGAGCTTTGCTTTGCGGCGGCGGTGCCACCACGGCCAGCTCTGCTTGGTGGCCCTTCGGGAGCGCCGTGACCTTCCCCTCCAGCAGCTGGGAGAGGAACGGTGGGCTCAGTGGTCCTGCATCCCAAATCCACCCCAATTTGGGACGCTCAGCTCCTTCCCCGGGGATGGGCCCATCTATGGGTTGGGATCTTCTCCCCATCAGCACAGGGGACTTGGGAGCCCCTCCTCATCCCAGGCAGACGTCCCGCCTGCTTTCCCAAATCCCCCCCAAGGCAAGGGGCCCAAAGAGATGCCAGCCCACCGAAGGAACCCATCCACGCCCTGCTGGACCCTGCCTTCACCTCCTTCCCACCCCTTCTCATCCTCCACCCACCACCCGCCAGCCCTGCCTCCCCCACCCCCAGCCACCTTCCTCCAGGTAATTACAAAGGACAACAATTAAATCCCCGGTTCCCCCTACCACGCATCCCCGTTGTCTGAGGCCCTGGCAGTGAATAATGCAGGAGGCTGGAGGGGAAAAGAGCTGCTCAGGTTGTTTCATTATTGATGAGAGATGACAGATCCGCGGCTGACAAGCTACCGAAGAGATATGATTAGCTTGTAAAAAATTAAGCGCCTTTCTGAGGGCTGACGAGAGCTGAAAACCCCAAGGAGCGGCGTTATCGATGTTCCCTCATTTCAGGGGACTTTGAAAAGGTTTTAGCAAAATTTGGAAGAGGTAATTACATTCAATTAGAGTCACAAGTGCCCGAGACGTCACCGCTGCTTCTCCTGCTCCCCGAAACCACCGATCATCCTTCCCACAGGCAGAGATAAATAGGGGTTTATGTGTTGGACCTGAATTTCTGCCATGAGTTCTTTGGGATACGAGGGTGTGGGACACAAAACCAGGGATTCTCTGGCTCAGTAGGGTTGGGAAAGGCAGTGGGAGCTTTGCTTGGTGCTTCCCCTGCCTCCCCCACCTCATTACCGGGCCGGGGTTCACGGGGCTGCCAAGCACATGCATAATTCATACTTCCCAACTCTCAAATGCCAGGATCTTTGTAGGTTTTCCTGCAGAATAAAAACCACGGCAGGAGAGACGAAGAAACCGGGGGTCAGGGGGGTGGCCAGACCCTTTGCCAATTAGCCAAGCTCCAAAACACGTGCCCAGACTCAATACATGTCCCTGTTACCCTCAGCTTCGGGACCTTCTGGGTTTACAGGTAGGAGGGACACCCCTTTTCCCAAGGTTTTGGCCAGACCAAGCCCCCAGTGATAGATTTTTGGGCCCTGTGCCAAATAGGATGGAGGAGAGTAGCTGGGTGGGTTTGGCTGGTGCTGGTTTGGCCTCTGGTGCGAGCCCCAGATGCATCCAAGGGATATATCACACCATCCCTGCTCCAAAGTCCAACTTTTAGTCTAAATATCCTCCTCCCCTCAATCTCTTCATTGCTGCATTTCCCCACACAAGGTGACAACAACCCAAACATTCCCCCAGAAGCCGCTGGTGGGCTCTCCCTGCTGCCAGCAGGGATGTGCACAGGGGTCCCCGAGTGCCAATCCAGCACTGGGAGGTTACACCAAGGCTTCTTTTCCACCCTCTTTATATAGATCTATAAATATTTTGCTATTTAGAACACGATCCTCCACCCAAGGAGCATCCCTGGCAGGTTTGGAGTCAGATACACATCCAGCCCCTCTGGCAGCACCACGGGCCCTGTGCAAACCCATCCTGGGAAGTTCAGCCCCTCAGCAGGGGCAGGGGACCCTCCCAGCCCTTGCAGGTGCTGGGGGGGGACACGTGCCCCGGGGGGGTTCAGCTGCTCCTCCCCACCCCAAAGGGCAGTGCCCGGGCTCTGAGGGGCTGCTGGGGATCAGCTGCTCCGGGGCGGGGGGAGGGCACTGCCAGTGAGCTCCTGAGCACCCACCACCCATGGAAGACCTGTGGCAAGACCTCCTGCCACCACACCTACCCACGACCTGTGCAGCTGGGACACATCACACCCGGCCTGTCATAACATCACCTGGGTTCATTTTGCAGGAAAATCCCACCGGGTCGGGACCAAGCGAGCAGGGAGTGAGTCCCTGCATAGAAACAGGAGCTTCCACCCACCCCCACCCACATTTTGGCTGTTTCTTTGCTCCCTCGTTTCTTTCTGGATCTCTCAGCATGTGAGATGTTCCCCTCAGGGAAAGGAAATTCAGTTTATCCCTTTGAATTCCACTCACTCAGGGGTCAGCAACACAGGCAGCGGTGGTGGGGAGCAAAGCCATTCCCCAAGCTCCCTCCTTTTCTCCCCTGCCACAGTCCAAGCACTGGGCCCCGGCTGCCCTGGGGACAACAGGGACAACAATCCCCCTAAATCTTCGGAATTCAGACCATGCTCATTGTCAACATCTTCCCAGGGGGAGAAGGAAGCAAGTGTGGCACAGCCTGGCATCCTCCTGCCTCAGTTTCCCCATGGCGACTCCAGTCCCCATGGATACCCTACACACATCTCTCCCACCCCTTCCCATCCCTTATCTCTTCCTGATCCTAATGCTTGTGTTTTCTTTCCTTGGTCCATCCCTCTCCTCCTGCCCACGGATGCAGGTCGCTGATCCCGGCAGCCACCAGCTGCAGTTTAACTCCTGCCTTTATTTTCTCCTCAGTGCCAGGCTTTTATCCCTCTCAAAGCCCCCAGATCCTTTTCCACCAGCTCTTAATTCCCCTGCCACTTCCAAGCTGGCCTCCAAGAGACCCCGGGAGCTTCCGGGCTATTTCCCGTCACCCTTCGTTAACTTCGTGCCGCGAACGGAGGCCCCGGATCCGCCACCCGGCCCCCGCGGAGCAGCTGCTCGGCGTCAGACCAAAGGTCTCCCGGCTCCGGCCGCTCTCCCTCCCTTCCCTGTGTCTGCACCGAGGGATGAGAAGCATTTTCAAACAAAACAACTTTTCTCTGCAGCAACAGTTTCCCCCTCCCGTTACGTGATCCTTTTCAAACAGCGGCAGAAATGAGGAGGCGGCACCTCGGGCTGCTCTGAGGGGATACTTTTCCTCCCTTTGTGCTTCCTGTTGCTTTTCCCTGAGCCTCTCTGTTTCCCAGGCTCATAAAGCTGGCTCTGTGCCACCTGCTCTGGGCTGCACCTTTCCCTGGAGCCCAGCCCAGCCCAGCCCAGCCACGCAAAGCTGGTCCAGAAACCTCCTCCGGCTTTGCCCGCTCAAAGTCACCTTGTCCCAAACCTTCGGCTCCACACTTCGGCCTCGCCCGGCAATCATTAATCAGCTGCTCCGCATTCCCGGGATGGAAAAATGCCCCAGCGGGCAGCCGTGCCCTGGCAGTCCGACATGCCGGTGGCCGGGAAGCTGCTCCTGTCCGCTGCCGCGCTGCTCCTCCTCACCCTGGCCTTCAGGTTCTACAGGAGCCGCTCGCTCGCCGGGGGCAAAACCCCGCTGGCTGATGAGGGACAACCCGGGGAAAACCTTCCCCGGGCCAGGGATGGGGATGGGGATAAGGATGGGGATAAGAATGGGGATGGGGATAAAGATGGGGATGGGGCAGTGGGTCCGCGGCGGAGGAGGGTGTGGGGTGAGGAGGTGAGGAGGGGTGGTGGGGACACCCCAGGGAACATCCCTGGGACGCGGCTCCCGCCCCTCCAGGGGGATCCAAGGGCGCTGAGCGGGGAGGAGCAGGGAGAG